ATCTAAAATGAACCTCTATTTTGATAGATTAAATGTTTGTCTATTTATGTGCACATATTTTCTTGTTAAAAATTGAGATACTCATATTTTGTTTTGTATATTTTTCATCTGAGATTATATTGGGATCATTTGCCACTATCATTACAGGTTCTTCAGGTATGAATTATTAGGCTTTGTTATATTTCAGAGAGCAGAGCTACCCACATGGCCTTAAGCAGTGCAGTTTTATTGTAAGAATAGAGACTAAGGAAGACAAGGAAACTGCCATAGTACAGCCAGGCTTTGGGAAGTTGGGAAATGCTTGCTGAGGATATAGTGCTGCTCTGGTGATACAGTTTCTGTCATTTTTATCAGCATCGTATGTCCTTTGCTTCCTCTGCCACTATGATTCACTTACTTTCACTTCTAGCCTCAGCTGTCACAATGTGACTTTTCCTCCCCTGAACTTCATAGTTGCCTTTTTAAAAAAATTCTTGGCATTTAAAAAATATTCCTAACTTTCAATTATTCATGACTTTACTGTATCTTAACTCCAATTTAAATTATTTCTTTGTATTTCTTTGTAGTCTGTATACCAACTCTTTGTCTTGTATTCAGATACTTTGTAAGAGAAAAGACTTAACTATGAGTTGGTTATGGTTGCCTAAGTTGGGCAGCCTGGTAGTCCCTAGCTAGTCTAGGGATTAACTGTCCTCAGAGCAAATGCTCATTTGTAGTTTCACTATCCAGAATATAGGGAGCTTCTAGGCTTTCAGAGTAACAAGCTGTTCTTCTAGCATAATTTTAAGCTGTAAAACCGTTTCAGATTAATGTGTTACAATGAATGTAATTGTAAAATATTTCACTTGTTTTAAAACTTTCATTGTTAAAAATAGCACAGCATTTCAGAATCAACGAAAATAAACTTGAGCAAATATTTCTGGCTAATGGTAAAACAAATTGAAGCAGTTAGATTCTTGTAGTTCTGTAAAAGCCAAAATTTACCATGAGTTCAAAATAATTCAAAATGACAATGCACCTAATCAATTCTGAAAGACATTAATATTTTGTATGTATGTATGTATGAGGAATAAAGGAGAGTTTAAAATTGAAATAAAAAAGACTGTAGTTAATTTAGACCTGGGTTATGGAAAAATTTGAAATGCATAAAAAATTGATTTTTGGACCTTAACATCCCTGTTCACTTCTGACAAAATATGTAGTTAATCCCAAGTAAAATATTCAAATAGAATTGTAATGGTATTTAAAGTGTTCATGTAGCAATTTAAACATTACTGAAAATATGAACTATTTTTGTAAACAGTTTCTGTGACTTACTCATGCAAAATTTGTCTCCACATATCATGTTACTTTTTTTTTCTTTTTGTCAGTCGTAGGGCTTGAACTTAGGGCCTGGGCGCTGTCCCTGAGCTCTTCGGCTCAAGGGGAGCACTCTACCACTTGAGCCACCATGCCACTTCAGTTTTCTGGTGGCTAATTGGAGATAAGAGCCTCACGGACTTTACTTCCCACATTGGCTTTGAACCACGATTCTCAAATCACAGCCTCCTGAGTAGCTAGGATTACAGGCGTGAGCCACTGGCCATGGTATTTCTTAGATTACCGTCTTAAAAGAGAATTCACTCTAGCAAAAGTATAAATATTTTTAATGCCAAATTGATTTCTGAAGTGGTAGTAATAATTTATAGTTCTGACAATACATGAAATTTTGTACTGTAAAGCTTTCTTGTCCACATAAAATGTTTTTATTAGTCTTTGTAGGTAATTAAGATATTACTCACCTTGAGTATCTCCTTTTAGATTAAATGCTACTTCTAGCTTTTTGTACTAATAGAATACAAGATTGTTAGAATTTGAGGGGAGTTCAACTTTTTTATTCACATACATCAAACTATCATTTTATGGGATGATATTTGGCCTTTTCAGTACTGTTTCAGGCCAACAATTTATCAGCATAAAGTACTTTTTGTTTGTTTGTTTAACTGTATTTTTTTTTTTTTTTTTGTCTTTTTTGAGTCTGGGGATTGAATCCAGGACATTTGCACTCACTAGGCAAGCACTTTGCCACTGAGCTACATCCTATCTTTAAACTATGGTGTTTTTTTTCTCTACAATATTTAAGAATAATTTATAATGTCAATTGAAACTGAAATGCACTGTTTTTCTAACAGTGACTGCCTCCTACTAGAACTACTTTTTGGTAGCACTGAAACTAATCAATTATAAAATATGAAATGTGACTTTAAAATTTACTTAATAAAGTAAGATGATCTTGATAAAACTTGATGATATTGTTTTGCTTGGCCTACATTTGTAAAGGTAAGCTTTGGCATGGATGAAGGACTTAAGAAAGGGGCAAGTATTTGCTGTGGCTTATGCTAAATAAGACATTCTGATGCTCAGGCTTTTTGCCAGAAGAAAGTGTCTGTACAGAAAAACACTTGCTGAAAGTTTTTTCCAGCTTCTCTGATGAGCAGTTTCATCTGTAGACAGATTGGAATGAGGACTGGAAGCATGACTTAAGCTAGAGAACCTTCCCAGTAAGTCCAGAGCCCTGAGTTCAAACCACATTACTGCCTCCCACCAAAAAAGAAATGAGCAAAACCCTGCAGTGTAGTAGTTTGAATAATGACTGAGTGAGAAGATGAAGATATTGAGTGTAAAAGAACTCTTTTAAGACAATGAGGAAGGAAAAAACTGGATGGCCTCATGCATTAAGGGAAGAGAAAAAAATATATAAACATTAAGACTAGGAGGTTTATCCAAGTTTATAGTCTGTAAGAAGAAGAAGAAATACAGTGGATTGCAGAGGAGACTAAAGATAGAATCAGGAGCAAACTTTAAAATAGTAAAGATGGCTCAGTGGTAGAGTGCTTGCCTTGCATGCAGGAGGCCCTGGGTTCAATTCCTCAGCACCATATATACAGAAAAAGCTGGAAGTGGCGCTGTGGCTCAAGTGATAGAGAGCTAGCCTTGACATGAAGAGCTGAGGGACAGTGCTCTGTCCCAGAGTTCAGGCCCTGCGACCGACAAAAAAAAAAAAAAAAAAGTAAAGACATGGAAGTTAAATAGTTCTGAAAAAAGAGAAGTTCATTTCTGAAAGCAATTTTAATGCTTTTCATGTTATTACTTGAATGCAGTAAAGAATAGTTCTAAAAAAAAGTTTCAGGCAGAAAAGTCTGTGAGAGTCCATCTCCAAAATAACCAGGAAAAAGCAAGGCTAGAGGCACGACTCAAGTTGTAGAATGCCAGCTAGACAAGCAAGCTGAGCAAGCAAATTTTGAATGTAAACCCCAGTACTGCCCAAAAAAAGAAAAGAAAAAAAAAAAAAGAATACTTGGGCCTGGTTGTGGTGGTGCGTGTCTATAATCCCAGTAGTGAAACTGAGATGAGAGGATCCTGTGTTTGAAGCCACCCTGGGGTACATAGTAAGACTGTGTTTCACAGATACAACAAGAAGAAAAAAAAAACTACCAAATTCAAAAAGCCTATTTTCAGGATATTGTGATTTATTCTTGTGAAGATACTCAGTTTTTGAGTTTTGAATGAATGCCTTTTTCTTCAAGTGCTATGTATGTTTCTAATAGGTAAGAGCAAAGTGAGTTAACTTTATTATTTTCTTGAAAATATCTTAAGTAAAAAAAAAAAAATCAGTTCTAAAGACATGTAGTAAAAGATCTGGGTGCTGGTAGCTCATACCTATAATCCTAGCTACTCCGGAGGCTGAGATCTGAGGATCACGGTCCAAAGGCTGGGGCAGGAAAGTCCATGAGACTCTTACCTCCAATTAACCTCCAGAAAACCGGAAGTGGCGCTGTATTTCAAGTGGTAGAGTGCTCGCACTCACACCCAGCCCTCACACCCAGCATTCAAGCCCCACGGCTGACAAAAACCCCCAAATCAACCAACGAAACAAAAGATCTTTTAAGGGTTAGAAATAGATGTAGCTATTTCAGATATCTACATTTTCTTTCACACCATCAAATGTGCTGACAAGTGCATGCTCAGTGGCACCTAAGACAATTCTTGTTAAATCCTACTTGGCCAAATCCTACTTTGTTACCTTTTTCTGACCCTTTTTCCTGCTACTTTTTCCTTACTGTGTTACTTACATTTGTGCTTCTTATTTCTTGTGTCTACTGAGGATACTTATTAAAACTTCGAACAATTGCTGATTTCTATGCCAGGAAATTAGAGATTCTATTAAAATAATACTCTCTCGAGCTGGGCACCAGTGGCTCATGTCTGTAATTCTAGCTATCAAAGCCAGCCAGGCAGCAATGCCTGTGAGACTCTTTTTTCTTTTTTCTTTCTGCCAGTCATGGTGCTTGAATTCAGGGCCTGGGCACTGTCCCTGAGCTGCTTTTGCTCAAGGCTAGCATTCTACCACTTGAGCCACAGCGCCACTTCTGTTTCTGTGGTACTGAGGAATCGAACCCAGGGCTTCATGCATGCTAGGCAAGCACTCTACCACTAAGCCATATTCGCAGTTTCCCTGTGAGACTCTTACCTCTAGTTAACTACCAAAAAGCTGGAAGTGGAGCTGTGGCTCCAGTGGTAGAGCTCTAGCATTGAGCCAAAAGTCTTAGATTCAGTGCCCAGACCCTGAGTTCAAGCCCAGAATGGTACCAAAAAACAAAAAAAAACTTAAAAAAAAACTTTGAAGTTGTTGTGGTACAGGTGTAGCTCAAATTAAGTGAACCATTTGTTTTGTTTGTTGTTTTGTGTACTTCCGATTAGTTGATATATGCCTCATGCCACTGTATAAAAGTTTAGATTCAGCTGCCATCATAATTGTTACATTTTACATTGCATATTAGGGTGATTTTGTGTGTCAAACTTTGGTCATGTCTCCAACTTCCTCTCTTTAGGATTCTGCATTCTGTTTACTTGAGCTTTAATTAGTTAAATGTGCAATGTTTTTGCAACAGTGATATATAATAACTATTATATATAATAACAATGATATATAATAACTTATTCTTATTTTCTTTTAATAGATTTGGACTGAGCAACAAATTTGAATCAGAATTCCCTTCTTCATTAACTGGAAAAGTGAGTTTGTCAATTATTTGTCTACTATTTACATGTCTCAAAACTTTATCTTGCTAATAGAGAAAAGTGTACACTAATGAGTCATGGCTATTGAAATTGATACCACGATGCTATTATCTCTTAAACTTTTTCTTTAGGTAGCTCCTGAAGAATTTAAAGCCAGCATCAACAGAGTTAACAGTTGTCTTAAGAAGAACCTCCCTGTTAATGTACGCTGGCTCCTCTGTGGCTGCCTTTGTTGCTGCTGCACATTAGGCTGCAGTATGTGGCCAGTTATTTGCCTCAGTAAAAGAGTAAGTTGAACTATATCTTTTAATTTAGTTTTACACATAAACAAATCTCACATAGTTATAGTTTTTTATTTATTGTATGGAATGTTGTGAGTTTTTAAGTGTTGTTTATTTTCCAAGTATTTGGAAATTTTTCTAGAAACCTTTCTCTTTTAGTTTAATTCTGTTAATGTCAGAGAACATATCTTTGTGATTTTTTTTTTGTGTGTGTGATTGTTTTGTTTTTTGAGAATAGGTTTTATGTTAAAGCCTAGAACTTAGTATTTCTTGGTATTTGTATCTTAAATTTGTATTTAAAGGTTAACAGCTTCATTGAGCTTACCAATGACATATAACAAATTGCACCTATTTAAATTGTATCACTAAATGGAAAGTTTTTTTTTTTTTTTTTGGATCCGGTCGTGGGGCCTGAACTCTGGGCCTGGGCCCTGTCCCTCAGCTCTTCAGCTCAAGGCTAGCGCTCCACCACTTGAGCCACAGTACCACTTCCAGCTTTTTTTTTTTTGCTTATGTGGTGCTGAGGAATTGAACCCAGGGCCTCAGGCATGCAAGGCAAGCGCTCTACCACTGAGCCAACTTCCCAGCCCCTAAATGGAAAGTTTTGTCACAGCACATATCTATATTTATATCAATTTGATGAACATATTTATCAGCCCTAAAAGTTTTCTTTGTGCATTTTTGTAATCTGCAGACTAAAAACAATTCTAGACTTTTTTTTTTGGGTCCGGTCGTGGGGCCTGAACTCTGGGCCTGGGTGCTATCCCTCAGCTCTTCAGCTCAAGGCTAGTGCTCTACCACTTGAGCCACAGTACCACTTCCGTTTTTTTGTTTTTGTTTTTTTTTCTTTTTGCTTATGTGATACTGAAGAATCAAACCTAGGGCCTCATGCATGCAAGGCAAGTGCTCTATCACTGAGCCACCTTCCCAGCCTCAATTCTAGACTTTTATATAAATTGAATCAAACAACATGTATTCTTGTTTTTCTTTTTTTTGGCGGGGGGTGGGGGGGGCCCTGAACTTTGGGCCTGGGCGCTGTCCCTCAGCTTTTCAGCTCAAGGCTAGCGCTCTTCCTCTTGAGCCACAGCGCCACTTTCCGACTTTTTTCTTTTTGCTTATGTGGTGCTGAGGAATTGAACTCAGGGCCTCATGCATGCAAGGCAAGCGCTCTACCACTGAGCCACCTTCCCAGCCCTTGTTTTTCTTTTTTTACTCATTGAGTTCTAGCCATATTGTTAATTCTTAATTAATACTCAGTTCCTTTTTTAGCGAAATAATGATGTTTTATTATATGTATATAGTATTGTTGCTTTTATGTACATTGATGAAGTTTATGTTTCTTCCTGTTTTGATATGGATAAATCAAACTATAAATATCTTTGTTCAGGTCTTTTTTATGGACATATACTTCTCATGAGTAAAAATTCCTGAGTAGAATGACTTGATTTATGCTGCTTTCTATATTTAACATTTTTAAAAAGTTGTTTTTTAGCTCTTTTGATGGTTCTGGGACTTGAACTCTGGCCTGCATGCTATCTTACTACTCTAGACTAGTACTCTAACAGTTGAGCCACAACTCCACTTCTAGCTTTTTTTCTGTAGTTTAGTGGAGATAAGGTCTCCTGAGGAGCTAGGATTACAAGTGTAAGCCACTGGCCCGTGGCTATATTTAACTTTTTAAGTAACAAACTGCCAAAGATGTGGTAGTATTTTACAATTTCACAAGCAGGTGTATGAGATTTTATTCTGCCTACATCCTTGTCAATATTTCATGTGTCTTTAAAATTTCAGCCATTCTAGTAGGTGGGCAATGTTAACAATAAGGTTTTAGTATTCATTTTTATAATGAATAGTGATGTTGTATGTCTTCTTTGGTGATGATTAAAACAAATCTTTGATTTTGTAAGTATATAAGTATGAGCCCAATATACCTACTACTAGTTTTTCCAAAAGAAACGTTATAAATAAGCAAATTATATATGTTTACTGATATATATAATGTTTCATTAGGCTTAATTATAGACCACTCACAGTAATTGATCTTTTGTGTGTAAAGTTTATAACATGATGTTATAAACATGATGTTGCTTATATTTGCCCTACTCTGACTGATAATGGATAAAATTCGTAGCATTGCACTGTTAAACTAATTTGCATCTATTCTTTTAAATAGTAACATATCAATGTCATAGTTTCAACTTTACTTTCACTGGCAGACGTATATATGCCACCTTGATGTTCTTATCCTCATCTTCTTTCCACCAGACAATTAATTCTTTCTCTGCCTTCTTCAATCATTTTATAAGTGGTTCTGTTTTAACACAAATCCCTTTGGCAAGTTCTTCTGAGGGATACTTTTTTTTTTTGGGGTCGGGTCGTGGGGCCTGAACTCTGGGCCTGGGCGCTGTCCCTCAGCTCTTCAGCTCAAGGCTAACTCTCTACCACTTGAGCCACAGCGCCACTTCGGCTTTTTTCTTTTTGCTTATGTGGTGTTGAGGAATCGAACCCAGGGCCTCATGCATGCAAGGCAAGCGCTCTACCACTGAGCCACCTTCCCAGCCCATTGAGGGATACTTTTTAAAAGAGGCTTTTTCTGATCAGCCGGTAATGACGTTTTCTTCTAAAAGGTCTATATCATACAACTTCAGGTAATGTGGAATCCTGGAAATGATGTGAACTTGAAGAAGATACTAAGTTTTTTTGGTGTGATGGAATCATAGTAAATGGCACCTGTATTTCCTAATCTCTTACTTAGTCTACTTATTCAAAAGACCTTCAGTCATAAAAAGAGGACCCATGGTTTTTATATCTAGTCTTCCTACCTCAGCAAGGATTTTTTTTTGTCTTTTTTTTTTTTCCCAGGGCTGAGGACCGAACCCAGGGCCTTGCGCATGCCGGGCGAGCGCCCTTCCTCTGGGCTAAACCCCCAGCCCCAAGCAAGGATTTTTTTTTTCAGATGAAATTCCTTCTTTCTTTTTCTTAACAAAACAGTATATTGCCATTTTCAAATGTAGTTCTTTTCAAATCATCACAGTGTGTCAGAATGTTTACATGGACACTGATGTCATTCATCCTCACTTCTGAGCATCCTCAGTTGTATTTTCCTCTAGTTGTTTAGTCCTCTAGTTTTATCTTCCTCTTCTTCGGCATGAGAAGGATTGGTTTCATTTGATGATGGGTGGGGGTGGGGGTATCACTGTTGGATATGGAGTCATTTTTCCTTGTCTGTTCTTTGCCCTTCTAATTTTCATTTTCTCTTTATTGTGCCTCTGCCTCTATTCTCACATGGGTTTTTGAGAATGAACATGCAAGTTCATGCGTCAGTAGCCTCAGGCTTTCAAAGAGTTACCCATTGTTTCCTTATTTGGAGGTTTCTCATACTTAGGACAGCAAGTCATTTTTTATATCAATTTGGGATTTGAGCTCAGGGCCTTGTGCTTGCTGGGCAGGCACTCTACCACTTGAGCCGTGTTCCTAGACATAAAAACAATTTTAATTGAATCTGTACAATATGTATTTATTTTTTTTGGGGGGGGGAGTCCAGTTGTGGGGCTTGAACTCTAGGCCTGGGCGCTGTCCCCCAGCTCTTCAGCTCAAGGCTACTACTCAACCACTTGAGCCACAGCGCCACTTCCGGCTTGGTTTTTTTTTCTGCTTATGTGGTGCTGAGGAATTGAACCCAGGGCCTCATGCATGCAAGTCAAGCGCTCTACCTCTGAGCTACCTTCCAAGCCCCCTATACAATATGTCTTATAGGCTTATTTACTTCCTGAGATCCATTGACAGTGTAGCAGTCAATCTTAACATCAAACTGGGCATGTGCTCCCAGCTTACAACCAAAATATTTGGTAGGATATACTGATTAAGCTACTTTGCTGTATTTACAATCTTGACTATTAATGTCTTGATTACCTGTTCTTTGTTCTTGACCTTGGCAATTAGAGGAGGTAGTTTTAGCAACAACACTGATCTGACATGCTACAGTTGATATGGACAGACGTTTTGGTTTATTAGTGGCTTTCTCCATAAGATACAAAGATCCTCTATTCAATTATTGCTGAGGAGAAGGGATTACATAAGTGATAAGTGTTTTTGGTCTCTGACATGAAATGTTTATCATTGAGTATGTAAGCATCTTGTTTTCATGTTATAGTTTTCTAATACAAGTACCAGTGAGTATGCAACACTTACTTTCATAAAATCAATGCCATTGGCCAAGAACTGGGAGGAAGAGGTGCTGGAAACTCAAGTGCAGACCAGGTAGAGAAAAAAAATTATTAAAGTTCATAAGGTACAGAATCTCTACAATTAACATAAATATTAATGATCAACCTCCCAAAATATTTTTCCTAAGTTCAGAAACAAGCCAAAGGTATGTCTTATTGATCTATAATTAGTGTTTATCTGGAAATTGTAACTAGTACAAAAAGGCAACCAAAAGCACCCAGGTTAGAAAGAAAAAAAAATTGTAACACTTAAATAACTGGAACAATTTTGGTTCATATGTCAGAAGGTAAAATATCTTAATACCCTCAAATTAATTGCAATCCAAATTAATATCCTGGTAGGACCTGTTTTTTTTGGGGGGGAGGGGGTCTGGTTGTAGGACCTGAACTCTGGGCCTGGGCCCTGTCCCTCAGCTCTTCAGCTCAAGGCTAGTGCTCTACCACTTGAGCCACAGCGCCACTTCCGGCTTTTTTCTTTTTGCTTATGTGGTGCTGAGGAATCAAACCCAGGGCCTCATGCATGCAAGGCAAGCGCTCTACCACTGAGCCACCTTCCCAGCCCTGTATTTTTTTTTTTTTAAGGTTTGGCCAACAGCACCACTTCTGGCTTTTTCTGCTTATGTGGTGCTGAGGAATTGAACCCAGGGCCTCATGCATGCAAGGCATGCCACTGAGCCACTTTCCCAGCCCCCTTGTAGGACCTTTTTAAAAGGAAGAAAGGAAGGGAGGGAGGGAGGAAGGGAAAAAAAGTAATACTCGTTCAGATGGTATGATCATCTA